AGAACGTACAATCTCTTTATGTTTCGAAGGTGATTATTCATTTTTTTACAGCTGATACTCAACCCTGATAACGGCGACGCGTCCTAATAGCCATTTTGTAACTAAAAAATTACTAGACAAAGGAAGGAAAGACATTTCCACGGGTGACGGGAGCCCGGGATAAAGTAGGGCAACGAGCTCAAGGTCGGTGCAGCCCCCGTCCGGGATGCGATGTCGCTCACGCCGACTTGTAATCTTTATGCGCCCTTGACGGCTTTTCGCAAAAGTTAAGCTATAGGTACCCGCGCTGAAATATTAACGAACTCCCGTCCCCTATACCGCATGCTAGGCAATTCAATTCAAAAGAGTCTTTTAAACATTTCTTTAATTGAAAGATATAAACCATATTCTTCGCCCCTACCTATAACTTACCTACAACTACTAATATAGCATATAATAATATATAATTAACTCTTTAGTTTTCAGCACTATATACTTTGTTTATGGGTTAATTTAAATTCTGTGTAACCGAATTTAATTTGGTGAAAGTAACCGCTACGTCCCATATCAAATATCCACTAAACAAAGTGCGATCCCACGTTGGGCGCCAACTTACAAAGGTCCCACTTATTATCGCCCGCTATTCCATTGATTAACTTCCCAACTTCAACCCGAAGTATATCGTTACTGAAATGTAAATTCGTATAATGGGCTGCGGTAATAATTCCATACGCTTTATAGGCTTTCCGTAGACAATATTTGTGTTTTATTGTATAAATAAGATGTTTACATTTCTTAGAATATTCTATGATAAGGATATGATAACTTTTTAATACTAAATTCATTATGTCAAAGGAACTGTAGTAAGAAGTATGTAATGGAAACTGTTTTATCTTGCTAATTAGAAATGTATTTTTTATTCTAAAATTGTATTTAAATTTAATTGTATTATTTTATTAAATTATTGTATCGTTCTTTTATTCTTCAAATTCTGTCTTGTCAATAGTTTCCCAATATATATGTCCGTATTGCAAGTATTTTTCTCTAATTCCTTTTAATTATAAACAAATAAAATATACATACACACACTATAACAGAACGATGGCTACTTTGAAAAAGAACTTATGCGAGCTTGCATCGTACATTATTTCGCAACACCAACATTTCATATTTCACCAAAAGATCAGTTTGAATTTCATTAAGAGCGTAGCGCGTACTCATTTTATTACTAATGAGTTATATTTTAAGATTGAATATAGAGTTTTAATCAAGTATGTAAGTACATTATCATTTATTAGATTTACCTATCAGAGTCTTTATAGTTTCGGTACAACAACAATAGAACCGGGTATTTAATTTGTCGTATTCCAAATCTGCGACATTGTATTCAAGATTGTCATCGATTCCGGATTAATGCAGGTTCTCTTAGTTGAGCCTTTAGATTATTTTTTGCTGAGCATATATATATATGTAGAAAAAAAATAATCTCCATTCGAATAAATGAAACTTTTAAGTATAGTACAATATATGTCATCGTTTTTTTTTCCATAGCAATAATCTTTTGTAGATATAGGTACCGAGAGTAGACACTAGACCAGATTACAAAGTTAAGAACTATTTGAAAACAAATTGGTTTTTAGAAATTTAGGAATTTGCATATAATACAAATATTATTTCTGCATTACTGCAATACTTCAATATGTATTGAAGTATCGCAGTAATGCAGACCGCAATAACGCAAACCGCTTCCGATGGTCGTGAGTTTGATTCCTCGCACGGTAGAAATATTTTTATTCATGAGTACGATTTTTTGTATCGGATTGAATGTTTTCTGTACGTACTACCCATAATATTAACTTATGCAATTTTTTATACTTATTTTAAATCAGTGTCTGTGGAAAAACATAGTAATTTGCATCTATATCTACTCCAGCACCAAACGGCTCGTTCAAATTATACTTTGTTTTTGAAATTAGTACCAAAATCCCTTGATAGGTAGATCGAACACGAAACATGGCCTTTCCCGAGCCTCCCGTCCATTTTCATCCCCAATTGACCATTATGGTGGATGCTGTATTCTTAACTTCAGAGTTTTCTATGCAAATGTGGAAATTTGCACGACTCCATCTTGCAAATTAGGGCCGAAAGCATTTAGGTCACATTCATGCCTTTGAAACGCCTGTTTATTTTAGTGATTAAGCCCGAGCTAATTTGAAAATTAGCTGATGGTCTCATCGGAAAGTGATTATGCGTCTGACACAGCTCGATTTAATTTTGTAGAGCTATTTTTAGGTTTACCTATCGTATAATCAGTTACAAAAAGAGTTGGCCCGGACTAGTTTAAGAAAGCGCGGGAAAGACATGTCCAGAAGTTTAGGGAAGACCTGCGTCTTAGAGGCGACTATTGCTGTGAATGTAAATTACTATTTAGTAAACAAAATTAAGCAATCGAATAAAAGGCTTCTCTTAGTTTATATTTTGACCCACCCACCCACATGAAATTTATAGCCTATGTGTTATTCTCATGTATAAGCTATATTACTGTAAAGTTTCATCAATATCCGTGCAGTAGTTTTTGCGTGAAACATCCATCCATCCATACCCACAAACTTTCGGGTTTATAATATTAGTAAGATAGAATAATTACGATGGCTCGTATAATCTATAATGGGAGTATTATCTACACTACTGCACTATTTCGATATGTAAAATGTCAATTTAAAAGAGCAGCACACAAGTTACTTATGTTCTTATTGTGATGAGACAGCTTTCCGAATGAGCGGTAGATAAAAAAAATTGTGATGACTATTCAAAAGTGCTTAAATTGAATTTATTTCAATAAAATATTTTCTATTCTCTTCTATTACATATACTACGTATGTGTAGACTAGTAGTAGTATATACATATACTACTACTAGTCTACGCATCTATTGCATAAGCCATAGAATGAAATTAAATAATATCTAATCTGGAACTATAATATAAAAACAGTGCCATGTTTTATATTAGAATTAGGACCTTATTAATTGTTCTTCTTTAGAGTTAAGATACTCTCACGTGTTATCATTCCTGGGGACTATTTTGTTATACCTTTGTACTGTGTAGTTTCAATGTTATATGATATAAAAACTTTTTTTTTAATCTAGTTAATTTTGATAATGCACCACTCAGATAAATAAATCACTCTGGACAATTAACACAGCGCCATCTAGTGCCACAGTAAGCAGAGCTTTTGTTATGGGTACTACACAACTAATAAACATGCGTAATATAGAAAACCCGAACCGAAAACCAGACCGATACAAACAATCATATTCATGAATACAAATGTTTGCACCGTACGAGGAATCGAACCTTTGAACATCTGAAGTAAAGCGGTGTGCTAAACTGCTAGACCACTGAAGCCGTCACATCTCATTTTACTCAATGTCTTAAGTCCGTTTGTACACCTTTAGTTGCGTAGGCGTTAGGAATATTAGCAACACAGTTTTATATTTCTGTGAATCGTTCTTCAGTAATTTTGTTGCACATATCTCTGTATCATACTTATTTTTGAAACAGAAATATGTGCAAATTACCACCGCTTCTAAAAATTCACATTTGCAATTCACATATTTGTGCATTGAAGTTTAAATTGTTCAAACTGAAATAGCTTGCATGAGAGAATTGCTAGCGAAAGAATGTACCTACACATCTAGAGAGAATAATCCATGTCTATGAGAGCACGAGATATCATAAAAATCTAATCTCGAAAAATATTCTAGTCGACATCTAATTTTGTGTCTATTCCCGACATTTTTAATTATTTTGTGTGCGTTTAAACGATTTTTACTTGGTACGGTTTAAATAATGAAGAGAAATAATTTGTTTTGTAAATAGAATAAGCGACCAGATAGGATCAGTTTAAATTTTAAGGACATTTACAGTACCTACATTATTTAATTATAATGCACGATTCCTTCATCATCCACTTAAAAAAGCCCTCTTTATACCTACAAAGGTCAGTACATCTATATGTACCTGTATAATGCCACAACAAGACAGACATACGTTGAAATATTTGCCTTCATACCCTGTGAATTAATGTCAGATACCATATTTTACCCTACACCCTATATAATCAACAAATTGTAAAACGAGGCAAAGATGAAACGGAGGTGTTAAAATCAAGAAATTTGTTTAAAGTTTTCTTTATTTTAGAAATTCCCTACAATTATAGGGTATATATTATTATATTAAGATTTGTAATTTAACTTTAAATATTCAAAATTCGAACATCATTATTAATTTTATTGTTATCATTATCGAAATGACACCTTTTTTTCTCAGGCTTCGGCGCCTTAAGAGACGACACTATTTTCTCTATCTACGGCCTCTGGAATACTCTTTGATCTACAGTGGCTTTTGACAATGTTGCCAACTTTAAATTTATTCCAATTTTTCTGGCTGTTATTTTGCAAATAATATTAAATTTTTAATTTATTTGTAGTTAATGTATCGATAAATTAAAAATGTATGAGACTAAAAATGGTGAAGATTTGAGCCAGTTCATAATCCATTCTTAAATAAATATTATAGAGTGCAATGATGACTCCGTATTCCGTATTCTTGTTATCGTCAGTAGGTGTTGTATCTTTTAATAACTGTTTTTAATTTAAATTGTATGTTCAGTATATTTTAAGCAATACACATTTTATATTTATAAATGTATATTTTGCAATTATAAAATTTATACTTTATGCAAGGAAATTTTGTGGAAATACTAAAGCACATTGGACTAACATTCGGTTGATATAAACGTTTGTAATAAAATTATCCGTCGGCATTTTTTCTAAACCAGTGTATAAATGGGAGCCAAGAAAAACATAGATAAAGTATCAATGTAAAAGTAAAGACCTCTTTTCTATATCAAGCAAAAAAACGTATTTACAATTTACAATTACATTTATTATGGTTATTTTCATTTTGATCCGGGTAAATATTTTAGTGGGATGACAACCCCAAAATTAAACGTCAAGTTTCCAAGGTCTGAAAATTCTTAATAAAATAAAAAACGTCAAATCAAATCGGTTCGAGTAATCGTTTTGTTCTGTGTTATTTTAATATAGTATTATGAAAAAAGAGTGAATATCAAAATGAATCAAACAATAAACGTGGAACAACTGAATTCTGCACTAACCTCTCTTAGAACCCTCCGATTAAGCGTAAGCCATGTCTTCGAAACGCTCGCAAACGGTCTCCGCGCCGATCACGGAGAAGACGGTAAAGAAAAGTTCCTTCTAGAACTACAAGAGCTTCTATCCAATGTTAATATCAACCTGCGAGATTTAGAACAGACCGTCACCGGCTTACCAATACCTACTGCTCCATTTAACTTGGGGAACACGACATATTTAAGCCAGGAAACAACTCAAGAGAGACAAGGATTGTACACACAATTAGTAAACAGTTATAAGTGGACAGACAAAATACATGAATACAGTTCATTCGCGCACACATTACTCAGCCAAAACTCTTTGAAACGCTCGTACATTAACTCTGGAAGTACGAAAAGGCGGGGAAAGCTACAGAGTAATCACAACGTAGCTCCGTTACAGGTAGATAATGTTATTAACAACATTGATAGATCTTACAATGACATGAAAATCAATATTTCGCGGCCATATGCTAGCAATGCAGTTGTACAGATCAATCTGAGCCATGTGTTGAAGGCTGTGGTCGCTTTTAAGGGTTTGTTGATGGAATGGGTTATGGTGAGAGGTTATAATGAATCGCTAGAACTGTGGGCCGAATCACGGCATCATGTCTTCAGGAAAGTCACTGAGAATGCTCATGCAGCAATGTTGCATTTCTATTCACCGACATTGCCAGAGTTGGCTGTGCGTTCCTTCATGACATGGCTACACAGTTATGTGAATTTGTTCAGTGAGCCATGCAAGCGATGTGGATGCCACCTCCACCACACATCCCTGTTGCCTCCTGCGTGGCGAGATTTCCGTACATTGGAACCATTTCATGACGAGTGCAAACAATAGTCCATGTGGTATTGAATGGGAAAGTATCATAAATTTTAATTTGATACTTTCTCCTTCAATATAATTAATAAATAAAAGACAATATAGTATTTAAGTGTATATTTCATAAAATTTCCTTTTGCTAGACTGTAAAGTAGTAATTTATGTGTTAATAAAAAGAAAATTATAGACACATTAGATGTACTTTGTACCTTTTAAACTACTTGTAATAAACTATGTATAAATATATACTAAATAAAAATATGACTTTCTTTTAAAGCAGATCAATTGCAACTACTTCTCTAACTCCAGTCTTAAACGCATATTTACAGAATGAAAATTATTTAATTTCTCAAGTGAATGGTTTACATACTGCAGTAGTATGATCAACACTACATGTTACACTCAAAACATGTGCTCCTATTGACACCCTCAGAGGGAAATGTTGGTCTTTAGCATGGCCAAGTCCAAGGCACCCATGTCTATTCCTCCCCCATGTGTACAGATCTCCGTTATTTGTTATTGCAGCTAAGTGACTTATTCCACATGCAACTTTATCAACAACACATTCAGGATTGAACTCATTGCGGCCAAATAGAGGTGGTGGTATTTGTTTTGGGCTAGTAGTCTGTTGGACATTAGGGCCTAAGCCCAGTAAGCCGAAGCCCCATACAAAGACATCTCCATGTTCTGTAAAAATCAATAAAAAGTATGTTAAAAGATATATATATAATACATATATGTGAAGAAGTATACATACTTCTTAGTGAGTTGTTACTTAGTAACAAACATTGTAAATACTATCATTATTCTATGTATAAAAATTTTCTCAATAAAAAATTGTGTCTTAAGATTTTTAATATATTTCTTATAAATAACAAAACATTCCTCTGCTCTCAATCCTGATTTACTTAATAATATATATAAATATATTTATTTAAATTATATATAAATAGCAAAGAACCTCTAGCTGTGATTTGCTAAGGCAAGTGATTAAGTAATAAAAATAAATAAACTAAAGGTCCAGCATAACTAGGACTAGTGCTAATTAGCATTTGTTATAAAACATCTGCTGTAATATCTTTTTTTCAGGTAAAAACTCACATGATGGTAAGTGGCAAACATTGGTCACAAATAAAGATATCACATCATCATTTGATGCTTGGGACCACTCTGATGTGTTAACATTCCAAAGGAGACGAGTCTCAGGTCTTTATACTTTATAATTACACTACTATACATCATTCAACAAAACAGCTTACAAAGCTAGCTGCTTGCAGTCTGAAATAGGTGAGACAAATATACACATGCAAAGGACTGTGAACTAGTTCATCAACAAAATTGTACATTTTCTCTTGAGTCCAAATTTGCTTCCAAATTCCTTTTACATAATCATGTGTATACAAATACAAACCATTAACAATCAAACAGAACGATCCCCCTGCAGCGATGTCCGTTATCTTCCCCAACCCCTTGGTGAAGTTGACTAGAGCATACGACATATTCACTTGCTGCTGTTTTGTATTCATAGGCACTTGACCATATTCTGAATTTCCCCAACCAAACAGTTCACCTTTCTCTATAAACAATAAATTTATTTTCAGATACTCATCCACAGCACTGCCGTATATTAACTACAGCAACATAATTGTTTCCGTTCACTTAAAATGATTAAGATAGTTACCATTCAGAGCTAACACACAGTCAACAGTGGAGGCAACTTTGACGATCTTTTCACTAGTTACATCCCCTTTCACCTGCGCTGGTATGCCCTGGTTTTCATATGTACCAATTCCTGTCTGGCCATCCGCGCCCCAACCACACGCATACACCTTGCCAGATTCAGTTATAAATAATCTAAAAATATAAACACAGATTAGAAGTTAATGAATACATTTTTTTATGTAAATGAAAATGTGACTGCCTGATAGTAAATGGTAATCCTCTCTTATATATACCATGTCATGTTTTTCCTCATGCATACCCATTCATAAGGACTATTCTTGTTACTGAACCAATATAGTAATGTAACCATTACAGAAGTAAGAAACGGATGGCAATTTCTTACTTCTCAGGTACTACAACATCATAAATATGGATTTATGTTATTAGAAAGGATTAACATTTCCTAATTATCGACGCACACACACCACACCACAGTTCTCACTCGCCATAATACCTGTATGACGACAGCCGTGTGCGTTAGAGACGACAATACTTCAGTCTCTTTCCCACATACGCTCCAAGGTCTATATCAAAAGGGCCTCCGATTTGCGTGACATTTTGTAAATTACAGAATGGTTTTATTACAAAAAAAAAAGGTTTTATTATTATTATACTTACGTATGATCCTGTCCGCAGCATATACTCGTAATATTCTCCGTGCCCAATCTCTTTATATTGTAAGACACCATACTTCCCTTATATTCCTCTTTAAGATTGATTTTCCTACCGCACTGTCCATATGCATTATTGCCTAATGTGTAAACACCTTCACTGTCAGTCAATATAGCAGTATGTGCACGTCCTGCACTTAGACCTATAATCTGGAAATTTATGTAAATTTAAATAGATAGATAGATGAGAATTTTAATTTGTATCTTAGTACACACATAGTTTCAATTACAAACAGTACCTATACTTTACAGAATATTTAGACCAATACAATAGAATATGGGTAAACCTGCTTGTGTGCCAGAAATTAAGGCTGTTATACAGTCAGTCAGTGATTAGGTATTTCTAAGCAACCTTAATATATCAGCTTTACACAAGCGTTAATTATTTTTTAACATCACATAATTGATTGGACACATATGCAATCAGCAATGCAGCTAATATTCCAGTAGACATCAATTAGTTCATTCATAGCATCAGAGATGAAATTACTATGAAATACATTCATATTATGAAAGTTAAAATGAGAATAATGATACTATTCTTTGGGATTAAATTAAAGTAAAACTACACCTTAGTCTCCAGTGATTTGTATGGTATATAAATTGGAGCTGGACTGAGCAATAGTTCTAACGGATGACCGATGCGAGGTGCATGATATCCAATTTGTGAGTCTGTATTGATACCAGTACCAAATACTTTGTGCTGCTCATTTGTTTTAACTGCTAATACTGTGAAACCATACCCGCAAGCTACTTGTGTTACCTGCAAACATAATAAAATACTTTAAGTTTATGTAAACATCTTGTTGGTTTGCCCATTGGTATCGTAAAGTTATATGGGGCATATGCTAAGGTGCACAATAAATAAATGGAGCAAGCAAGTGACTCTCTAGTGTCCTAGAGACAGGGCAATAAAGGAAATCATTTTATTTTAATTATATCTGAACAATAAAAAATACAAACAACCCTAAATGTTCACCCTTCAACTACCTCCATTTTTAATAGTGATATTTTATATGGGTCAGCTAGGAATGGAAAAGAAATATATAAAGGGTTTACTGCATTGTCCAATATTAATATTATTTTACAAATATCTTACATCAAATCTCTCTGCAATACTCGATCTCATAGGATGCCATGCCAGTGAAAAGTCATTTTTGTAAGCTTTCTTGCCTCGTTTACCTCTAGGCAGATGTATACCGAGAGCACCCGTTTCTGCCAGCCCCCACACATAAACGCGCCGGTCAGAACTCTTACTCAAAGGATACTGGAATACTACAAACATAGAGTATACCTTACTGAGAACAAATAAATAATACATGAAAATGAATACATACAATATATATTTTATTATCTCTATCTTCTGTGCATTATTTTAAACGAAAACAAATATTATTCAAACTAATTTGTAAATAATTACAGACCAAATTTGAACTTCCCACAACTATTATTTAAATGGTCAAAAATACGAATGAAATTTAAATACATTCCGACTTTAAAAATATTATGCGTCTTTGTAGTTAACTCGCATCAACCAACAGCGAATATAAGATAGAAAATAAATTTAATAACAAGTATTATAAAACAAATTGTTTACTAGGTAACTGCTCATCTTCTTTGGGATCGTGCATTTTCTTCTTGGTAGTGGCATAGCGGCGATCTATACTACTAACACTGTTAATTAACTTAAATTGATTTCTACGTAGTAAAACCTTTATTACTGAATTCATTTTCACAAAACAAAAGATTTTTTTTGTTATAATTTAAATTTCGAGGTTATATTTTAGAACTGTCACATATATCACGACTGACATTGACATATAATGACTTTGACGTTTCACTTTCTTTTTTTTATTACTATTTATTGAACTGAGGCTCAAGAAATTTAATTAAAAGAATTTAGCGACATGCGCCATTTGTCAGCGAAAATAGTATGCATGACGTTCTAACAAATATACCGATTTACTTGCGATAGTCGTAGGTTTGATTCCTAGCATATTGCGTGAAATTTGTATATTACATATATAATTAACTTATATATATAAACGTATCGCATCTTACATTGGTATCTATATAATAAATACAGGGTTGAAATAATAATACTCAAAAAACATTGAACACCATTATTATAATAATTATAATAAGAATAGTGACTGAGTTAAATTGTAAGTGATACTGGAATTACTTAATTTTTGACAGTAAGTTAGCTCGAAACTGGGTATTCTGAAATAGTGCTTTTATAAGACTTCTCAGCTCTTCAGTCCTGAAGTGTACAGCAAGGGGTCCTACTCCATCCATCCAATGTTTCTCTATGTCTTTGAGGGATCCACCAAGGACAAATATTAATTCTTGCAATTTCATCCATGACTTCACATGGTTATCAATATCTGAAGAATCCTGCAATTAAATATTAGAAAAACAAGTATAATTAAGTTAATAAACATTTTACTGAGGTTGACTTTGATAAAAGTCGTAATCTATAAATCGACGCTTAAAAATTTCTCAGTTTGCCTTATGGTTGACTGGTAAAAAACGCCCTTAGGTGTTAAGTTCACCATATGCACAATTATATATTCTATTTATGCATTAAAGTTTAAATAAAGAACGCAGTAAAATTGCAATTGAAAGAGTTTTGACATTGTAGTCCTCGGGAATCATCTTTTCTTTTATATTATAGGATTGACAAACAAGTTAACTATCCACCTGATGATATATGGATAGCATGCCTCTTATCCTGTAATTTCACAGCCTTTTCGCTACCATAACACAGGTCACAAAATAAGCATTTTGACGGTTGACGCAAACATTGTCGCAGATGACTTATTAGAATCTATCTCAGGTATGAATGATATTATGTACAAAGATTATATCTTAAAAAGTAAAATAATTTTCTTAAAATAAAATCTACTTGAATATTTTTTTAAATCAGTTCATAAATAACGACATAATGGATACTTCATACTTCAGGTCATTTATAAACCGAATTAAAAAGAACACTAAAAAATAGTTGAATTGAGAACCTCCTCCTTTTTTGGAGTCAGTTAAAAATTCTCAAAATTGAACCTGCAATGACTAGGTATATAATATCAACAATGATTTTTCAATGATGATACATTTATTTTTTACCTGAAATAGTTGAGGTGCTTTCTGTACTACGAGTGTGTAAATTTCAGTAAGCTGTGTTGCCATCTCCATGGAAATATCTTCAACGGTACACACGCGGTGAATAAGCTCGTCGAAAAACATATTTACTAATGTTGCCATAAGCCTAGAAAATAATGCATCAGATGTTATATATAGCTGTTAAAATTTATCTCTTTATTAACAGAAAATTACCATTTTAAAACGAAATTATTCATTTTATTGGTAAATATATTATTGAATACCTGTGATAAAATCCTATGTTATATTATTCTGGCGTGTCTTATTGAAATAAGAAGACACAAGATAACAAAATACAAACAAGCAATTTATAAATTTTGACTCTTTTTTCCTAATTTATTTATTACGAATTTAAACAACGACCTAGTTGGTAGCGGTTTAGCACATCGCCTAACTTTTGTCTCGGGTTACTACGTGTACTCACACAGTACAAACATTTTGTATTCATGACAATTATTTCGATGTATATTATGTATTTATTTACGAAAAAATGTAAATAACACAAGCACTGATTAGTTTAGGACTAAATGGCACTGTGTGAATTGTCTTGAGATATTATATATTATTATTTACCATCTTTATTCGCTTTTTACTGCTTTAGACGGTTTTATATAAGGTTTCTATTGTGAAAGTTGTTATGGGTTCTCACATGCGTCTTTTGCTTCAAAGCCATCATATTCTGTAACCTTTCCATTCCATGCAAAATTACATCTACCAGAATATAATAATAAAATTTAAAATAAATAATAATTAAATACCGTGTAAAAACGTTGCCAGGAAACACACCGATCCAGACATTTTTCAACAACTGCAGTTGTCTCAAACACTGCCTTACAGCTGCCTCTGCGTTGTCACTAAGTACATCCTTCACAACAATGCAGTTTAAATCTGAAAATATATTGGTATTTTTATTTATTATCATAATTTCTTCTGGAAATTTTATTATCCATTTATAAAAATGAGGTAGGCCCTTATACCCATAAAATTTTCTACCTTCTTATGTCACTCATTCAGCTACGGGATCTCAGTGATATTTCTATTGGTTTCTTATTATATTTTGTAATGATATAAAAACTTTGCGCATTGTTTATGAGACAACCCTATAATTTTGTGTTATACTAGCTGACCCACCAAACATTAGTCAGTGTCACATTTCCCTTGTTTTTACTATATTTTTCATTGCAACTCCTCCTTACAATACTGAAGTTAATATTTCGAGGAAGAATAGTTTCATCCTAATACAGGTTAGATTTCAAATATTCTTTCATCCTGTTATATTACTACAAAATATTACTCTATTTATAAACCTCTTTTGTTTTGAATTTATACATTGCTAATGTTTATCCTGTCATCTTCCACCAGTTCCCCACCAGCTTATACTAATGATTGTGGGTGTATTATTCCAGTACTAAGTAGAAAAAAATATTTTAGTATATATACCTGAGGAACGAATATTATCCAAAATCTGTTTCCGCTGCTGTTGCATATGTAAGGTAAGGTGCTTGTAACCAAGATCTCTAAGCTTCTGGACTAGATCCACAAAGCTAATGGGGTAATCTAGCTCACGGCCTTCCATCAAGATCAGCCACTTGTCCCCAAATGTTTGCAAATTATGTGCTAAATACATGCAATTGTTGTGGAATAGAGCTGAAAAACAAATATAAATAGCTGTTGCAAACTCTTTGGTTTTATTGCTAGCCACTTATATAGATTGATGAAGAATTTGAATGGACAAGAAAAAAAGAAACAATTGAATTAAAAACAAAATTTCTTATCTTACATTTGGTTCAATGAAATCAATTTTATATTTTTTTAGTTCACAACCCAGAAAAATTTAAATTTAAATAAATTTCAATACATTTTTTATATTTATGATATTTCATCATAGATTTGAAACATTAGAACTACCTTACCTACATACTGTGGAATTGTTTGCAAATAATTTTCATGGTGGTACGGAACTACAGCATCATATAATTCGAAAACCAGTCTTGTTGTGTTGTAGAGCTTTTTGCTAACTACGTCTGAGCACTGGACCGCTTGCTCCATCATCATATACACTAAATCTAACAACTCCTGAGTAGTCTTTGATATCATGCATCTTGGAAAATAGAATAAACTCCTTGGAATAGTTTCATCAAGGATTTTTAAAGCACCCTCAACATGAGCATCGAAAGTTGCTTTTGGCTCTACATTTGCTTCTGGTATATTTTCAACACCAATAGACATTGAAATGCTTAAATCTTTAAACATTATAGCGCGAGCAGTTTCTAAGAAGTATTGGCAAGATTTACTAGCAAATAGAACATCAATATCATTGATATAATTAAGAATAGATAGTTTCTCATCAGGAAAGAACTTCACCAGTGTGAGGAACAGCTGAAAATCCTGAATCTCTGAAGTTATTCTACCATAACTTTGCAATTCATTAATATTGTTAGGTATTGTATCTATTAGGCAATCCTTAACTAGAACATCTCTGAATGCATGACATATCTCTTGGCCCACCATTTTCATTATAGTATTTACTCCATTGAACTCCACATTCAATTTGTTGCTAAGGTAATGGAATAACAACCGAAGGTTTGCAATAACTGCATCATATGGTGGTTTGAAATTCTGTTTATGGTTCACTGTTACTGTCATCAACACTTCCGTTTCAGCATATACTGTGCAATCATTATTAATTATAGGTGTTATCACATCCTTTAACAAGAACTGTGCAAATTCCGAAACCTTTTCTGTCAACTTCTTGCTTCTATCTAACGCATTTAATACATCATTAACAATTATGGTATCTTCCAAATTTAATGTTATAGTGATTATAGTCTTTCTTGGGCCCGTCCTAACTATATAATTTACTAATCTGTCCCATTCAGCATACAAATCATGCAGCAAGTTGTTCAATATTAATTGAGCTGTGTTTTTGGTGTTGGTATATAATTCTAAGTATTTAAATCCTTCTACAGGCATTTCTACATACTGCACTAAGTCATAGACAGCCTCTATGGCTCGTGTGAAACTCTGTGCCTCCCGGCCCTCATCAAACTCTTTCACATATTTGCCACATTGTGTCACATCATAAACTATGTCTATAGCAAAGTTAACACTTTGTAATTCTTTAACTAGTTGGTCATGCTTCTCTATAGATTTCAATATTTCAGCCATTGTTTCCTGTTCAATTTCTTGCCTACACAATTCCATTTCCTCTACTAGAGCCTTACTGTCTGCATAAATTTCACTCCCCTCTTTCAATATTGTTGCAATATCATAATCACTGTTACTAAGAAAAGAGTTAATGTCATTTTTTATCTCTTCTATTTCTTTAATTACTAATGGAATCTTATCAGAAGGGGTCCAGTTATTTGAATCCTTACTGTCAAATATATTCTTTAAAATTACATCAACATTACAGTCTGCCATTTTAGTGCCTATTTTTTGACCTGTCTCTCTTAATGGAAGGTTCAGGGTATCTATCACGTTTAGGTGATCTATTGTAGGGTCGCTTACGGCTGTTTCTTGAACTATGATATTTGTTCGAGTTTACAGCATGCCTAAGTGTATTGACAAGAAACCGTTTATTAGTTTTTTGTTGCGGTGCTTTAACCCAACCGGAGGGGCCAACTATTTCAGCTCTGGCGGCGCCTTGCACCGCTTCTCGCATTAGCTCCTCGACGGCTAGTCTGAAAACAGTTGAATAACCAATTGAGTAATTTAAAAATTAAGAAATTAACAGTCGACTTCAAATATATAAACGTACTTCTCCAGAGCTTCGTCGTCTAGTGATTCTGTATTAGGTTTTTTGGTGTCATCTTCTTTATCTGTCATAGTTTAGTATAAATATTTGGTCGCTACTATCACTTCGGTAGAAAAGTAATCACAGAATTAAATCGATAGTCAAGAATCCAAGTAGATATTCATTTTGCAAATTAAAATCAACACTCGACGAACACGAAAACAATCACGAAATTTGACAATTACACAGATGCATTCAACATTCAGAGAAAAGTAAAATTACTGGTCAACTGATTTTTTAATAATTTTCTAGAGGTCTCAATTATTACAAGTTTTACGCGATTTAGTTAAGCTCAACATCTTTAGAAGGTTTTTTATTAATTTTAGTATTTTACGTCCTATAAATTATACAACTTGATAGTTAAGAAATAACTTGGTCAAAACGCAGCTATAATGCTTCCGTACTTCGAAATTTGAAATCTGGCAATTTTTTGAACGCGTGGAGTGAAACGTCAGCCACGTAAATGATCTGTCAATTGACGAGTTGTAAGAAATTCACCTTTCTCTGAGCTGTTTTATAAAAGTTAGAATAATATTGAAACTAAAGGTTATTTTATTTTTAAAATACTCTAAATTAAAGTCTTTTAAATTTATTTTATAAATCATCTATCATAATACCTTAGTTCATTCAAATTATAGCTTAATATTTACATCAAATTGTGTCTGTTTGGTGTACTAATTTTTAATTGAAATCTTTTTTTCAGACAGAATGGCTGCGAAATTGTTATCCCTGATCTTAATCGTCGCTGCTGCAGTGGCGGCGGATGATGAACCAACAGTAGCCAAATTATTGGTATCAAAACAAGTGCTGAATAAATATTTAGTTGAAAATATGGACATTTTAGTGAAATACACACTGTACAATGTCGGCACCGCTGCAGCCGTGGATGTGAAGTTAGAAGACAATGGTTTCCATCCTGAAGTGTTCACAGTGGTTGGCGGGCAGCTCAGTGCGCAGATCGACAGAATACCCCCACAGGCGAATGTTTCACACGTCGTCACAGTCAGATCTAACAGATACGGCTACTTCAACTTCACCTCAGCGGAAGTTACATACAAATCTTCTGAAGATGCCAGTGAGGTAAGAAATAGTATATATAAATGCTTATGTAAAACTCTCACGTGAAAATAACTATACCCACTATTCTATTTTTTTTATTCGGAGAGTTTATGCTCTTGTCAGGTGCTAAGAACTGTAACACTGCAACCTGTATACATCTATTGTGCTCACCCTTATTCAAAGTTCGCTACCTTGACCTGTAAAACATAAATATTGAAGGATCTCATGAACCTTACATTTACTTAAACAGAAACTTATTCATAAAATCATGGGATAGATACAACTAAATACTTTCTTAATATATAAAAAAAAATAGGTTTATTAAATGGACCTATTTTAATTAATGAACTTTTTATCATTTCCTACATAGTATCTAAACAATCAGGTGATGTCAACCATCACCTATGTACATGATAAAAATCATATATATCACATCATTATATGACTACATTAGTACTGTTAGACTACAGCATGGGGTTTTTCAAGAAGGGTATTTTAAGGTTTCTTACAACATGCATAGGACACCCCAGGTGTTAAAAGTGTTTGCTATTGTAACTATTTACTATCAGATGGGCAGTATGCTTGTTTGCTGTCATCATCTCTAATGCATTATCATTCTGGAGAGCTAGGATGTTAATACCCTGTAATTTCATTGTTGTGATTCACCCTTCAACCGAAACAGCTTAAGAATAAGCTCGTATATGCTTAGCTGAAATGGGTGACATTGAGTCTAGGGCACTACAGGGTCAACACCTGAAAAAAAATGACAAATAATTATCATAGAAAGCTGTATTCTAGTTATTAGTTATTTTTATAGCCTGTTTACTATAACAAAAGATATGTTAAAATTTTATTACATACTGCCCTACTTTTTTTAGTCCTATGCCAATGGTCACAGTAGTTACACAGTTTCATACAAAAGTATGAGAAAAAAAATAACATTATCAATGTAAGTTATGTAAACTTACATTGATAGATGTTTTTATTTATATTTTCATACTCTTGATTTTATTATTATATATTTAACACTGGGAACTTGGTTTATAAGCTAAAAATATGTAAGAGATTTATACAATGCCATCTATCATCATCTATTAATAAATTAATGAATTATATGGTGTATTGAAAATTAATACTAAGATTATTTTAACCTATATGTATATATTTGGTAAAAAAAAATATCATAATTCCCCAAACTTTTCATGTAAAACATTAACTTACAAACACAAAATACAAACTGACTGTTTTCATGTCATCATGATTTTATGATTTGATTCTGTATCTAAAGTATAGGCATATTTATATTACACTTTAATATTAATGTTATATGACCCCCATTGCCTTAAAGCCCCTCCATCCATCATTAAGTAAAAAAGTTGTGGATAGCTATAAATACTTAATAAAAAAATATATTATTTATTTCCAGGTGATCTACTCTATCAGCAGTTCTCCAGGTGAAGGAGCTATTGTCGCCTTCAAAGACTATGACCGCAAGTTTTCATCACATATCCTCGATTGGGCTGCGTTTGCCGTTATGACACTGCCATCTCTTGCAATTCCCTTCTTCCTCTGGTACTCGTCAAAGAGCAAATATGAAAAACTGTCTAAGCCTAAGAAAACTCATTAGTTAGTATATAATTAGTTAATTAGGTCATTGCTAATGTTAGATGTATGCAATTGTTATTAAATATGATTAAAACCAGATGACCCAACCAATTCTGTCCCATCACAGAAGCAATCATAATTATTTACGTCAGTAGTAATATATCATAAACAAATTAAACCAATTAAAGATCATAAAAATAGGTCCAATCATTATTTTTGTTATAATTATTGTAACTATCCCGATTTCATTGATATAGATGTAAGATCAAAAATGCAAGATGTTTTAATTGAAAATCTTTTTTTACTGTTAATTGTACACAATATAACATTAGTGATGATACATTCACACATTTCATAAGTTATTTGTTCATTTTTGTTAATAATAATTTATATGAACAATTGATATAAAAGACTACCTAATTTTTTAAATGTGTTGTTTCTCTTTTAACCCAATATTGTATTTTAAATCGACATTTCTTAAAAAATAACTTTAGAAAATAGTAGCGCCATCTAGTCCCAAGCTAAACAGAAATTGTATTATTTGTATTATAGACAAGTGTTATAAATACATAAATTACGTAGAAAACACCCAAATAGATACAATCATACGCATGAATACAAATAATAATAATATTTCAGGACAATTCACACAGCGCCATCTAGTCCCAAGCTAAGCAGAGCTTGTGTTATGGGTATAGACAACTGATATAAATACATGAATACATTTTTTTTGTAAATAAATACATATTATACATAGAAAACACCCAGACCGATACAAACAGATATACTCATGAATATAAATGTTTGTACCGTGCGAGGAATCGAACCCACGACAAAAAGCGACGTAAAGCGGTGTGCTAAACCACTAGACCACCGAGCCATTAAAAAGTATTTCCTTATTGTGTCACTATATTTATCATAACCATAAATAAATATACACGAGTTTTTCCCTGAATAAGTTGTATATGTGGGTGAATCCAAAACGACACGGATGAGAAATTGAAAATTAGGAAGGGAATTGTTAGTAATGTGGACTAATAACCCCATATATTTGGTGACCTCCACGCGGTATGTCAATAGAAAATCATCGTGTTAAATTCCTTTATATAAAATTCAAATTTGTCACGATGGGCTAACTGACCTGACCTCATGCTCATCTTAACATCCTCCACAGGTGCCCCGCCAGCGTAAACCGTTAGCGCAGGCGGGTGCACCATTCCATTATCATCCACAAAAAAAAACCATCATAATAAAATCCTGGTGAATTTGTCACGATGGGCTAACTGACCTGATACTGATCACACGCTAAAATATACCGGTAGTACTGACGGGTGCACCATTCCTTCCATTGTCTACACATATAAATAAAATTAGAGTGTCTGTAATATTGAAATAACCGGTTTTTTACTATATGTATGAATATAAATACGATACATACATCAAAATAACATTTTTAACTATTTTTGTCCGTCTGTCTGTTCGTTCCGGCTAATCTCTGAAATGGCTGGACCGATTTTGAAAGGACTTTTATTGGCAGGTAGCTGATGTAATAAGGAGTAACTTAGGCAACTTTTATTTTAGAAAATAATGCTAAATTCCACGCGAACGAAGTCGCGGGTACAGCTAGGTACACATAAAAGAATAATGAGATTATCATCAGATCAAAATCAGTGTAAGATACACAAGTAAGAAATTAATAAAACTACATAGTTTTACAAAAACAATTTATTAAACATATTTAAAAGCTTATTTACATAATACTAATATAAAAAGTGTATAGCAACAAAAATATATCTGCGAAACGTGTGAATTACAATAATTATGTCAGTATATATTATATTACAATTAGGTTTAATATACCTAATTATAATATTACATTGGTATAAAATTAATAATATGAAATACATTGAGTACAAAATAAATCATAATCATCAATTAAATATAATAGTTGATTATGATCTAAAATCAAAATAGCTACAGTAAGCTAGCTTTACAATTAAAAAAAATGTGGAAGCAATTATTTGAATCGATGCATCTTATCTACATTTTCACATCAAATAATTTATTGTATATAAAGAAAGGTATGTGCAATAAATTTAGGCAAGATATACATTTTTTTATATGAACTGTTTGGAGCTGTACAGGTCGTACTCCTTTTTTTCATACCTGATTATTTTATTGATGCATTCTACCTATTCAATATAGTGATTAAATTACTATTATTTTATTAAATTAGTTTAAATTATTATTAAAAATTGTAATTTAAAAGGTACATTTTAGATAGTGTTACAAAACACGTGAAATCACAGATTATTTTATTCGTTACAATTTTCAAAAAAATTATCTCCAAATTTACAGAAATTCTTTTAATGCATGACAAAGACGTCATCGACGTATATTCATGATTGTTCCATTCCAATGTTATTAGAAAAATTAGCTATCTTAAGTATTTCAAGTTACATTCCATATTGTTAGAACATTATTATTTTAAAACAATTTTTATTTATTATGTAAACATATATATATACACAAATAAGTATGACATAGAACTAAAGTTATCAGCTGGACATTACTCATAATACTAAACAATTTATCAATACTGGACAATTCTAGAATAAATAATTACTAGAGAACCCTTTTCTTTTGCGATGTGATTTTATCTCATGATTAGATACTTAGTGCTCGCGTATCAGTAATTAATATAAAAATCAAAATAACACCTAATTCGATTAAATATAATATAAAAATACTTTGGTATCTTGTCAAAACATCAATTATTAGTTAGTTGACAAAACATTTAGCATTAATATGCATTACTTAATGACGGTCTCGGGGTCTAGTGGTTTAGGTAGCCGCTTTATTTTCAATGGTCGCAGGTTCGATTCCTCGCATAGTACAAACATTTGTATTCACGAGTATGATTGTTTGTGTTAGTCTGGGTGTTTTTTATTTATATGATGTATGGATTTATAAAGAAAAGTAAATATTTACATCAGTTGTCTAGTACCCATAACACAAGGTCTTCTTACCATGGGACTAGGCGACGCTGTGTGAATTCTCCATGGCTATTATTATTATTATAGTATGGTTATTGTAACAAAAGTCCAATATTACACATGACTCTAGAACTTATTCGTTGTTTTTTAATCGTCAGAAAGTTTCTTTATAATTCTCCTTTGACTTACCGTCGAAATTAGCGTTTCATTAATATAGTTTAAAATAATTAAAAACTTCTCAAATACCACTAATTATACGACATGTTTTCTTTGTGTTTGCGCATCAAATTTAGTGGGACCTCCAGGTTTATGCTGGAGTGTATATATGAATCTCAATTTGAATTTGTAAACAAAATAGTATTGTATTTTTAAAAATAGTCGGTTAGTTCTTTCACAGACTCGAATTCTAGAATTAAGACATTGCTAGTGTATAATTCAAAAGTAGAATATAAAAAAAAATACAAAATGGCGCAAACGATGGATTTACAAAAAAAATATAGTTTCCAGAGTAGACGGGGTGGACCATTATCATTACATAATATAAAACAAAGTCGCGATTGCTGTCTGTCCGTCCCTATGTATACTTAAATATTTAAACTACGCAACGGATTTTGGAGCGATTTTTTTTAAAAGATAGTGTGATTCTATTGTAAGGTTTATATGTATAATACATGTACCCCGAAGTCGAGGCATGTTATGAATATAATGTTAGTAAAATAGAAGAAAAATTATGGATCTCTATTACAAACGGAATTATTATTAATATTGTTAAATAATGAAGCTCTTGAGCAGGAAAAATAATATATACACGGATATTACGTTTAATTTCAAAGTGATGTTGCTAATAACCGTAATTGCAATATAAATCGATTTTCGCACCATTTATCGTTTTACAATGAAAACATTTGTGTTAATAAGAATGTCTGTTGGTATTTGTCTGGCCGTTTTCCATATACGTCTTCAATGTATTTAAATAAATAATACCCGTCAGTATAGTCTAGTCTCAAATAAGTATAGCATGTAATATAGATACAAAACCAAGATGAAATGAAATGTTTTTCTATCTTTAAAATGTAATGTAATATACGTAGCCATGAATTCAGTTTACAACTAATCCCCTTCTGTGGATTAAATGTAAACTGAATTCGTGGCTCCGTTGCTACTAATGTACAGTATCAAGTCGACTCTGTCTTCATGTGGTCGGAAACGATCATTTGTGGTGGTCACTATGGTGAATTCGCCAGGATGGGCCAACTGAACTGACTATCTTTATGCGCATTTAATTATCGTCCATTTAAGAATAAATATACATAGAAAAAGAAGAAGTCCAAGAATGGTTGACGTCAGGCAGTTGGTCATAAAAAACTGAAGCTTTGAACTCTCGTAATCTTTGAGTGAACGTAATGTAATGTAATGAAATGTAATGTAACAAAACAAAAAAAAACAAAACCAACACAAACAAGCATACTCTTAATAAAATCCCGAACCAATACACATAAAGTATTGTTTCAGGATCGTATTTCTGTATTTATGAATGTAAATTTACGGAACATTACGTTAACTTGATGAATTCTTTTAAATTTTATATTATTTTACAGTTAAAAAATGGTCCCGAATCGTAAGTATTACAATGAATATTTTGCACGGCCTATAAGCGATATCAAGTCATAACATAACACATATTTCTTTAAAGATTCGTGTCTGGTTGATATGCAAATTGTAATCGGCCATCATGGCAGTACCTACCTGATTAGACAACGCGTTGTATAATCTGTGATTGTGAAATTGGCGGGAGAACCTCAATTTGAGAACAACCCTTCAGAGATAAAGTATCAGTGAAAATTAAACGCATAAATAATAATAATACACTTTCTAGATACAGACAACAAAAGGCTTAGCTATGTATGTTTCGATATTTACGACGCATAATGATAATTATTGACAATGACTAATATTACTCTCTGTGCTCAATACATATTAAATTTATTGAAATAACCCAAGGGGTCATGTTACATTATGCCGTTTACTTAGAATATCACAGTCTTGTCTTGAAATATATGAATCAATAATTGTTCTCTAATTATCTATATAAAATAATTGTTCTGACTGACTGTCTATGTACCTACGTACAGATTTAACTAGGCTAAAAACAAGAATTTTAATTTACAAGTCTCTACGAAAGAATTGCCTAAATATCTCTCAGCAACAACACAAAAATACTTTAATTTTGGCGGGAAAAGGCCTGTGGCAGAAATCAAATATGGCGCTGTCATTTGTACTAGCAGTATTTAAAAATTTAATTTACTGTAGTCACTGTACATGACAACAAATTCTATAATTGCGCAGAGTTTATAAAATTTCGCGGGCTAATGTACAGACAATGCAAATATTGTCGGGGTCGATCACCAACCCGAAGGACTGACCCTATTAAAACGGCTACACACCAGTCCATTCTAGAATGTTCTTATACAGCCAACTATATCAGAAACAAATTGCGGGGAGCTCTATCACCAAGGAGAACAATGAAGACAATCTACTGATAACGTCATAAAAGTTACTACCATTCTGTCAAGAGTGTACGACTGAAGAAGATATACAGACTTCCACCGATACCAGTTGCAAATTGTTTACAACTTAATTACCTCGTGACGTGAGCAGTAACAATTTTAAGTACCAAAGCTTCTGCACAGATCACGTGGCACTAAAAATAGTATTCACGTCGTTTGATAAGGTTAGAGCATGGATTTAATTCCATAATTGTATATTTAATAGTAGAAAAAATACGTAATGGTGCCACCCTCCTCTACGTAAGTGCTTCAAGTACAAAACACATGAAAATAAATAGAAATTCATAAATCATGTGATAATGTGTACAGCTAATCATTTCTTGTCGACGGATTAAAAAATTCGCGTATATCCCTAAGATAAACGACGCTTGATTTCATTAATTATAAATAACAAATTTACGATGTCAGTATTACTGTAGTATTTTAGAGAAACAAGAATGTTTCCAAATAATGCAACGTTGACAATAATGTCTTTGTGGCAACGGCACAAAATATATCGACACCTAATTAATATGGTGGAACGGAAATCACAATTTCCATTCCTAATTACATAGCTTGTATTACGAACGACGGCACAAATGTGTTTAAAACAGATACAAAAAAGGAATTCATTAGATTTAAAACATTGAGGTCGAAAATATTGAGCTTTGTCAAGATAAAAAAAAAGACTATTATATTTATAAGTTATTACTTTTAAAAATAGAACCTAAATTCAATATCAAATTATCAAAACCAATGTCATGGATTGACATTATTGTCTATGCTACACAATGTTAACCACAGTGGCACAATGTGAGACAAGCAGTGAAATATTTTTGTTTTATTTTATAAAATTCATGACAAAATACGATTTTATATGCGAAAATGTTACAAGTTTTTACACCAAATAATCTATTGCGATATATTTCGTAGTGGCACATATTATAATCCTCACGTAACTACCATAATGCTAATGCGTGCCTATATTGCGTGAAGACACTGATATTGTAATAAGTATTATTATAGAAGCAGAGTTTCACCTTCACATAACAAACACTATTTTATATTTTGTCGGTATAATAATTATATTTCGCTACATACATTTATTGATCTAATCGTGTGTTTTACTAATCAAGTCTTCGCGGAAATATCCTAGGTAAGGCAATTATTATGTATTTTAGAACTCAAACTAACTTTAGTGCAAAGGTAACTTTAATACTTTAATTACTATAGCATGTAAATACAATTTAAAACACACAGTTTACATGAAAACTTTACAGAAAGTAGAGATTACGCATGGGGTTTCAGGGTATATTCAGTTATGTTAAGGGTGGACAACGCACGTTGTTTCGATGTCAACAACCTTGGTGTTTCAGACGTCCATAGGCTACAGTTACCATTTATGATCAGATAGGCATATGCTTAATTGCCACTAATGTGCTATAAAAAAACCTATAAGTAAGTACAATTTTGCCAATATAACAATTGAAATAATTAATCGAATTCATGAAATAATTTAGTAAATCTATTTCAGTACAGTTCAATTGCTGCAGAACTCGGACCATTCTATTTGCATCTGTTTTATCAGTAAACAACGTGACCTAATCTCATTGCGATATTGGTAACACTGTATTTGCGAATTATTAAAAGCCTAACTATATCCAGAGCCGTAAAACATATTAATAATAAAAACATTATTAAAAAATAAACTGCAAATAAATAAGACAATGTACTTTTCCCGCCTTTCGTAACATAGAGGCAACTAAACTATTTGCGTATTCGCTAAATTAACTAATTAATAAGAGCCCATTGTAAGATCTCGATTGGTAAATTTGTTAAATAATATAATATATTAAAAAAAAACTTTATTATCGAATAAATATGAAAAACCAAATGAAACTATCACAAAGGGTTAGGCGATGATTGGAACGTACGGCGTAGCATTCACTTGTGTAATGTTATTTTGTAACTACATACTTATAAACCAGAAATAATATTTTTTACAGTTGCGCGCACCGCAACACATTTGCGATGTGATTAATAAAATAATATAGCAGTACTCGTATTTACTAAAATGAATAACATGTCGCTCTTTCTTCGTAACATCATTCATTGTGATTCATGAACAAAACTGGTTGGCCGATCAATGATTTCGCGGTACTAATATACACATTAGTAAAAACAAAACTAATGTATGGCAAACGTAATAAATGTAGTCACAGAACCAGTAATTCTAGTTTTTAGCTAGAATGTTTTCTGTGTGTGGAATTCAAAGTCCAGTTACCGCCAAAATTATAACAAATGAACGAAATTATGTTGCCAATATGCTTGTTTGCAAAAGGGAAAGGTCGCATATGGTACGCTTAATAATAAACTAAAAAATTCATTTTGTTTGAAATAGACTCTAAGGTCTATTTGCAAAAATCTATTTTAATGCAGTTTATTAGTGAAAGACATTGGCCCTGAAGAATGTCTACTGAAACTGTGTACATGCAGAGATGATGTCATATAATTCCTTCAATATGTTTTCCTCTGTTTTATAATGATGCTATATTAATATCGTTAGTGATACAATGTAAAACAGAATTAAAGGAGTGTGTATTTTATAAAGCTTCAATATATAATAACTGTAGTGGATTTAATAAAGTTTATGAGTATCATATTTATAACATACTATAAATAGAATCATTAGTTATATTATATAAAGAAATGATATCATTCAAAGCTTTGGTCATTTTTATTACTATATTAAAAGTATATATCTATATTATTACTAATTTGATTAGATTGGGTAGCAAGACTTCGAATTAAATTAACAACTTAATATGACCTTTACAACATTATATTCGTATTTGTATCCACATTAATTAACTTTTAGTACACAATTTTGATATAGTTTTTTCCAATAGAGGATTGCTAAAAAGACGCGAATTCATAATGTCGATCTATCCAAATTTGTTTTGTCAGTACCTTTAACTTATGTTCTTCCCGTCTTCTTCCTGTCAGATATACGACTGTTAATTTTGTTAATAACAGAAGATAGAGCAGGGACTCCTATTTTAACAAAATCATCGTTTTAAACTGTTATTATAAAGTCAATTCAGACACAGTAAGTACAAGGGCACTACCAAATATCAGCGTTACTGTCCAGGAACTTCGAATACCCATCTATTTTACACTGATTTTGATAATAATTACACATATATATATATATATATATAAGACACGTAAATAATAAAATTAGAAAACGCAACCGCAAATTTCCAATCATCGCTTGGCAAATTATAAGATTTATAAGCTACACGTAAATATAAAAATATTCTATTGTTTCAATATTTACATTAAAAACATTACACTTTCGTCCATTAAGAGATATCATAGTAACATAGCTTTACATTATATGACGCTATCGATATTTTAGATTATCTATAGAGATACGAAGGCACCGCCGATACGGAGCTGTTCTATAATTATTTTTTCGACAGATGGATGACATTAAATTACAATATTATTTATCAAAAAGGTATTTAGGGGGGTTCTTATATATTCACTACGTCGGGACCAGCTAACATGTTTACGACGTGTTGGCTGGCAGGAGATGACGCTCCATAGTCAGGGGTTGATGGCGACGAAATGGGCGTCGTGTCTACCGGCTTATTAAGAACCGGTGCCACGTATTCAGGGAACCTCATACTACTTTCTTCTTGTAATGGCGCTGGAGGCGTACAGCTAGGGAATGGACTAAGTAACAGAAAAGTAGCGAACGCAACTATGGACGCCAATATTAATATTATAGTGCGAGCTTCAAAGCCTGACCTCAACCCCGCCCATGCAGCCATGTTCACTAACAAAAGCAAGACGGACATACGAATTAGTCGAACTGCAGTCGCATGAATTCGACCTCCCCCCACACCACTCATATCAGAAGGCCCGTAAGCGAAATACAAGTTGTGTTTATCGCCTACATGTTTGAAAATTAGATAGACTAATCCGAACGGAGAAATCAATGGACAAGCGATACTATAAACCATAGTTATAGAGAAAATTGCTATACTCCATGCATAATGAACTCCAAATGGAAACTCGTATAAGATGGCTTTTTTCACGTAACTCTTCTCTGCCTTCGATTTTGATTGCAACAAAAACCAAACGTAAAGGAAAAGTTCTGGAAATCTGATCAACTCTAAAGCGGTACCGATAAAAGCAGAGGTTATGACATAGTTAACGAAAAACGCCCCTTTGTTAGGATAGAAAACACAGTCCCAGCGCATCGTATCGTTCTCGTGATGTAAAGTCCAACGTAAGAAGGCGTCAGCGCTCGCGAGTCCAAGTGAGGGTAAGATCAAGGTCATGAGTAGCAAAAAGGAAACTGTTTTAGTCATAATTGAATAATTTTGCTGTGACTTTGTCCAATGAGAGAGAAATTTATCAGAAAATGATACTATGGCTGGCATCACAGCTGCCATGGTCCACAAAAGCAATGTGGGGAGGAAGTCAAAAATAATGGAGCTAACTTTATCTGTGTTATCAGGTTTAACTACCACAGTATTGAATAGATTGACAATAATGGCTGGAGTTGTCAGAAAGAATAGAACAATAAATAGCACAAAGTTAATACATATTGCTTTTAAATACCAAACACTAGGCTGCACACTCAGGTTCTCCCAGATAATATCTGCCGGGTTTGTGGCATGTGAGAGCACCCAATCATGATGTAAGCTGAATTTATTGATAACTTGCTCGGCTAATTGATAAGATGGCAAAGTCAAAAATGCAATACTTAGAGGTTCGTTGAGTACCATTGCACGATGCCTCTTGGCTTCATCTTTCAGTCTCTTCTCTTCATGTGTATAAAAGTCTAAGGCATCCACTGGAGGTCCAAACCATTTCGGTCTAACGGGGACACGTTTTCCTGTCTTTTTATAATAATTATCACAGTAAACAAGTGCTTCCGTAACCATTTCTTTCTTCTCATATATTTGATCCAGTTTTTTTATATTATAAGCGAGTCGCAAATCAACTATTTGTATATGAGGAAAATTATGAACGAAATATGCTTTTATTGTGGACTCATTTCTATCTGCCTTCGATATATTTGTTATCATAATTGTGCCTGTCAAACATTTGGGCACAGGCTTCCGGCCAGTGCAGCGTCTCATTATTAGCACGGATACGGGTAAAAATAAGATACTGATTACAGTGTGAACCCATAGCCAATCCGAACTTCCATTTATATTGGACAAAGTTGTACTTGCAAATGTGGAGTTACTGCCCATGTTCATTCCTTGAAAATTTATAGGCAAAATTACACCTATAGAAATTATTGTCACAATGAACATGAGAGTTATTAAATGCCTCTGAAAGGAGAGGTAATGCACAGCATCCGGGCCACATTTAGCTAGGACCTGTTCACGGGTCAGTTTAAACACGGCAGGTAGCCACGTGAGGAATCCTTCATCAATGCTGGTCGATTCGTCATTGTTCCTTCTCCCGTCCACAAGACCGTCGCCGTCCCCGCCGCGGTAATAGAACAAGTTTGTCCAACGGCTCTTTGTCCGCTGGACGAGCGCCATCCGTCCATAATTCCATGCGGTACGTCGCAGTACAGTAAACAGAATGATCAGACATAACCAGGATATCAAGTTAAGAATCAAAGTCTGAGGTATACCGTTGTAAACATCTGTGATAATGTTGCTTTGTGATGTGTTCGTCAACATGCAACCATCCTGATCAGTTGTCATATCCAATATTTCCCCCGAATTAGACATTTTCAATGTCGCAACTATTCAGCCAAGCACGAAGAGAAAGCACATAATGAGCATTCAATAAACACTTAAGTTCTTCACGAACACTTCACAATTATTCACAAAATAGTTGTTTTATCACTATATTACTCTCTAAAAGGGAAATTTTATAGTCACGAAGTTAGAACAAATCAACACGACGGACTGATTAACAACTAATTAAATAGATAAAAAAAAACACTAGATACGTACAATGAAACAATGACATTGACGTTTAGTGCCCATCTCTCTGTATGAAACATATGGTGTATTGGAACTAAATTTACGGTAATTTTATATTACAATTTATAAAAATAATAACAATAAAAACAAATACCTACTAAGACAAAGTAATTTACGAGAAAGTGGTATAGTAATAAGTTTTCTACCGTAGAAAATAGGTGCAAAAAAACGAAAGATACGACTTATTACAATTCTACTTACTGTATTTAATTATAACCATATCGTCATTTAAACAACAATTTGCCTATGAATGAATATTTATTGCTTTCATAATGTTGGTGATACTCTGCAATGTAGCTAAGTATTATTTTATATTACTGTATAATAATATAGTGGCGCCACCTTACTTGTAAAAGATTTCCGAACAGAAAGGAGTTGGAATGTATGTGACCACCCTTATTGTGGGAAGGAAACTTTACATATAAAAAACAAGTGGAAAAGAGACAGCAAATACATATGTGGAGTTTCAAAAGCGAAATAGATTGTTAATACTTGCTCCATAAAATTTGAATTTATAAATGGAAATTAGTTGATTTTGTATTTATTCAATTATGGATTAGATCTTCACTGTTAACCATTTTAATCGATTACTGATTTACCATTTTTCAATTTTCCTTTATGAATTTAAACTTAAATTAAGTGTCTTATTTTTGTAATGGTGGAATTTGACTGGAGTAATTTTTTGGAAGCCAACAAATTTATTGCTGTGCCTGAGGAACTATTTTCTCATGTAAGATTATTAGCTACCATTAAATAATAAATTGTTTTCTGCACAGTAACCGATAAATATTCATTATCCGCTATTAAACTAATTTAATCCATAGAAGTGGGAGTCTGCTCAGTTTCATAATGGCAAAGTAACTTCATAAAATATGTATATAATTATCAATTATTTTTTAAATAATTTCTTACACATAATGGCCATGAAAAATACTTTAAGTATAATTTAAACTCTGAAATGTGCAAATTAAATATAGAACATATCTATTTTTTGCATCATAAATACCCAATAATTTAACAGTGGAGACTCCATTATTAAATATTTGACTTTATTTGTAATAATTTTGTAAAGATGTATATACTTAATCACATTTTCAATAAAGACATGTACAAAGTAATAGTATTAACTATTAAATAAATAAATTGTATTATCATTTATATTAGTGATTAGTAATTACTGGAATAAAGATAAAGAATAAAAACTTGCAAGAAAACTGTACCTATTCAATTAGTAAAGTGTTTAAATAAAACAAAAAGTAAATACTTAAGAAGATATATACATTATAATGTTGCAATAAATTACATAATTATTTTAGTTACTTCTGAAATTTTTATATACTTAATGGACCTATAAGGAAATTATTTATAGAGCTTAAATTATAATTAAATCTGCTCAAAATATTTTTAATGTGATAAATATATTTTTAAATATTATGATTATGATACTTATACATATAACTTTATAATTACATAATTATAAATGTCATAATAATTGGTATTAATTAATTAACCATTCAATTATAATATTTTAGATGAAAAATAAATTAATTTTGAGATAATATTGGTTTTACATAAAAAATTTTTTTATGATTTTTTTGTATGATTATCATAATATTCATGGGATGAAAATCAAAATCATCATTTCATTATGAAATTGTTCTTAGCTTTTATTGTATTTTAATTTAGTTTCAAATAATACAATAGATGTGTAATGTGCAGTTAGCAGGAAAATAAGCAATTGTATCATAATTTGTGTAGGTTTTTTATTACTCAAAAAAGGAAAAAAACTGTATTATTTGTTAAAAATATCTTTTGTTTTAGCAAGGAACTTCAATTAGTAATATTTACCTAATCTTCAGCATAAAAACAGATCCGCATAGACATTTCAGAGATATATTTTCTTAAATGGAAATCATGTTTTATATTTCAATAATATTATGTATAGGAAAAGACTGCTTTTATGATTACTGAAAAATAGACTGGTTTTTTTGAAGTCAGTTGAAAAAGCATAATAATAGTAGTTGCATTATGCAACTGTTACTAGGAATTCATTTATTGTTATTATGAATTCATTTATTTATTTAGAATATATTATAGATAAAAGATAATAAGAGATAAGATTTATTATACAGATAAAAAGTAAAAAAAAATTACTAATATTGAAACAATATATTTGTTTCAATATTAGTAATTTTTTTTTACTTTTTATTAACTTGACAAAATTAAGTTATTGAACAAGAGAGTTTTTAAAGTTAATAATAACTAAATGGCTAATGGCATATTGTTTAACACTATATGTTAAAGAGTTTAGTTAATTTAGAATATCAATGCATTACCTATAATAATTATATGTGCCAGTAATTCCAATGAAGTATTTCTTTTAAGTTCATTTAATTTAATTAATCAGTACTAATATTTATTAGATTAATTAGAACTACAAGAACAATAATATATTTATTAAAATTTGCACACCATTGGATATAGGCAGAATACACTGTATTCTTCTTCAAATAAAATTATTTGATTTGATTTAAAAAAAAAGTGATATAATGATCATTCATTATAAAGAAACTAATTGTAAAATAAGCTGTCTACTTCAATATTTAGTACTTAAACCTAAAACCAGTGGTGGTAGTTATTTATTAGCCTGCTTGAGTACCTCAATCTCATCTGTATTAGTCACCAAGCTGTTTGCTTTGTAAGCTGTGTTTTGGTTGTAGATTTTGCAGTGAAATTACAGGATAAGACACACTTAATCCTCTAGAATAGCAATGCATGATTGGAGATAACATGATGTTCTTAGGTCTGTTTATGAATATGTATTATTAACTCATTATTTTTGACCATAAGGTCAAACATCCTCTTTGACTGCACCATAAAAAAAACTAGCTTGATGACTAATACAGATGAGATTGAAGTACTCAAGGAGGCTAATAAATCCACCTTGTCAAAAATGAGTTAACATTATTAATGTACTTTTTTAATGGATTATAATGGAATGGTGCATTCTCCTGTGCTAACAGTATATTCTGGCAGAGCACTAGTGAAGGATGATAAGATGAGCATAAAGTTAAGTCACTTAGCCAGTTTGTGATAAATTCACCAGGAATACCAATTAGTTTCCAGTGCCCTGTGGAATTTTTTAGCAATGGGGTTACTATTTTCCACTACTAACATTCTCTTCACCCAGATCATAATAATTATTTATGATCATGTTTTCTGTATCCATAAACTATAGTGGGAAACATGTGCACTTACAGGTGGAAGCCAGTCTCAACAATGGCATTAAACAAGGCATGCTCCTGGAGGTATGCCACAAAACCAATCCAGACATATACTGGATCGCCAAAATCACCATGGTCTGTGGACACCTCCTCAGGATTAAGTTCATTGGTGCAGACAGCGACTTCTGGTGTGATATATCTGATACCAAGGTCCATCCCCTCGGCTGGTGTGGGAAGTATGATGAGCTAATAGAACCCCCGGATGATATAAATGAAAAGTATGGGGATACTATCATAGATATTATGAAGAAAGTTCTTATGGGTGGGCAGTCGGTGTGTATAGAAGCTTTGAATAATAAGGGCTTGTCTCCAATTGATAGAATCATACCAGGAATGAAGGTGGAAGTGCAGAATATTCTGGATCCTTATAGATATTGGATTGCATCGGTGAGTTGTTTATATCACAATTAGAATTGGTACTTAGTGATCTTGTGGCTTGTTAACCACCACATGATGCAATAAATTTTTCTTATGCATATATCTGTAAAAAAAAAAAGTAAAAGAAAAAAGGCAGATATTGAACACAATAGGAAATAGATGAGGGAAAATGTTAGGACAAATATGGCACGATGATTTCATGAAAATTATTATTGAGGGGAAAGTAGAAGGAAAGAGGGGGAGGGGAAGACCAAGGAATAGCTACATCAAACAAATTGAGGACAAAATGGGAGTCGTGTCGTATCAAGAATTAAAGAGCATGATGGAAGATCGCGGAAAGTGGCAAGAGCTCCACCGACAAGAGTGTAGCTCTTAAATTATGAATGAATGAATGAATGAATATATCTGTATAATAATATGTTGGCTTGAGTGTTCTTCTGAGATATTACCAACATTACAAGCTTGGATTAAATTGGGTCTAAAGGGTGCTGTGTGTATATCTACTTCTTACTTGAATTAAAAAAAATGTAAATTTTTCAGGTGTCTGAAAATGTCGGTGGACGGCTTCTGCTACATTATGACGGTGCTGATGATGACCAACAAAACTTCTGGATATTCTTTTCGAATCAGCGCTTATGTAATTTTGGTTTCGTGACCAATAAGGTAATAAAAATGATAATAAAACTGTAATTTTTATTATTTGAATTGTTAAATGACACAAACACAAAGACTCACACACATTTTCGCAGGCATGCACGCACGCACGCACGCACACACGCTCGCACGCACGCACACACGCACACACGCACACACGCAATAATAAATGTATCTGCCCGTAATTACATTCATTAATTTACTTCTTTGTGACTTCCATGATGCAGACATAGCTTGGAGCCTAGTGTAGGGGCATAGATATATTTTACTACTGGTTATTTTCATTTAAGTAAAATAATTCGCATTATTCTTGTTAAGGGTTCACCATGGCAATTTAAGTATCCAGGAAAAGTGAACAAATTCTCATGCAAGAACAAGCTGAGTACTCAGTTGAGACAGAGTGCTGAAGAGTCTATAAAGGAGCCGACACCTGCTGATTTATTTCAGGTAATGTAATAAATATTATTTATATTTCAAAATATATTATATCTGGTCCACTACCTTATGTTCATCCATAATATTAATTTCAATATCATTAATGTATGTTAGTAGCCTGAATTAAATAAATAAAAATAAAATAAAATAAGAATTCTATTAATCGATAAAGTGATATTTTTTATTTCTTTGAACTTTAGGGACTTTTTTAGGAACTAAAAGTACATGCCAGTTCCATTGACCCTAAAACTAAGAACTATATCACTTCACCAGTGTGCGAATTCCCTTTGAAATACTATCTGAAGAATTTACTAAAAGACTTTGAATGGCACCTACATTATAAGTTGATTCCATTTAATTAACAATACCCTTTCAAAACTTTAATATGAAATTAAAGTTTTGAAATACATTTGTAAAATTAGTGTGATTATTACTAAAAAAATATTTTATTATCACTTACAGCCTACTCCCAGTCTAGAAGTACACAACTTTGTTACTGGGATGAAATTGGAAGCTCTCAGCCCCCTGGATATGAAAACAATACGGCCAGCTACTGTTGGCAAAGTGTTCAACAACTTTCACTTCCTAGTAATCATTGATGATCATCTTGAAGATTATGAAGAAACAAAAATGGCCTGGCTCTGTGATTCTATGCATCCATACATTTATCCTATAGGCTGGGCTGAGAAGAATGGCATTCCTTTAAAAATACCTAAAGTCTGGAAAGAAGGATCTTTTGATTGGGATGATTACCTAGCTATGACATCATCAGTGCCAGCTCCAGATTACTGCTTTGGAAAAAAATCACTACTGAAAGGAATCAAAGTGAGCATGATGCTGGAAGCTGTTAATCCATTAAATCATGAAGAAATACATGTAGCCACAGTTGAATCTATAGTAGAACATATGGTGTGTGTACAACTCCTGCCTATAGGCGAGAAGGTGTGGTATGCACAAAACAGCGACCTTCTCTTTCCTGTAGGTTGGTGTGATAGTAACAATTACGAGCTTCATATACCTGATACATCTATCAACAAGGAACCAACCAAACCAGTAGAGGAAGTAAGAACTATCAAAGATGATCTGAAATCATCAGAGGAGTGGTGCGATAGAATCTTCTTCAATTATAAATGTTATGCTGGTCCATCAATAAGTAAAAACAAACTATCTCAATTGCCAAAACATGTTGGCCCAGGGCCTTTGTCTTTGGTTTTGAAAGAAGTACTAAATAAAATTATATCAGCGTCCTATAAGCCAGCAAAATTGCTTAAAGACTGGGAGACGGAGGATACTCCCGAAGAAGGCATGAGGCTGGAAATGTTGAGAGCTAAGTAAGTATTTTCTAAGTAAATAATATTTGTAATTTATCTTATTCAGCGTTGGTATTAAGCGATATAAAATAATAGAAATTTTTCAATCTGTACTATATATAATAATGAATTACAATTGACTGATTCAAACGTGCTATGTTCTCCACAGGCGACGCTGCGGAAATCATTTAGATTAAAATACTTCACTTCCTTTTCAGATTAAAAACTTTTACTTACCATGCATACGTTCCGATAGCAAAGACGGCAGACCAAGTTCTATCGTTTTGCCGGGAAATGTGTACTAAGATGCAGGCATGCCCTTGTCTGTTTGGACCAGTGGAATACCCTGAGCAGTGTCCACAGCACTGTCAACAAGTTGACAAATCCATATTTCGTAAGTCATATGTTTATGTTAAACTCCAATTATTTTTTATTTTTATTTAACACAAATGACAATATCTACATTTTTTATTTTAAATATTACAGATAATAGTACTGAGCGACGAGGTAGACCGAAGGGCGCTTTTAGCAGTAAGAAAAAGAAGAAGAAGACTACACCAGAAAAGAGAGAAAAGGAACAACAAATGACCCAAGATGTTGAAAGTGAACATAGTGCTGGTTCCACACCACCCTCCGAGTCAGGAACCAGACCAAATTCACCAGAGAGTGGAAATGAATATAAGAGAAACCAGCGGAAAAGGCGGGAACCTAAAAATACATATCCTAAAATGGAAATGAAAACAAGAGGCGCGAAGCTACCAAATTTTGCATTACAGATAAAAGAGGCTCATTGGAATAAAAAAGATGTACAGACAATTTACAACAATTCGTGTGTAACAAAAAAACAAAACTCGCCAGATAGTGATACAGAAAATGATACTAACGAAAGCAGTTCTAATTCAAGAGATGCTAAAAATATTTCAGATGTATCCGATTCTGAAGAACCAGAGTTGAAAAAATTAAAATTTACCTCATATGATCCTCTGCCATCAGATAATAAAATGTTTGAAAAAGATACATCACTACCTTGGGTGAGAGATAAACTTAAACTTTCTCCAAATCCATTGCACTGGTCTGTAGATGATGTTTACTCATATTTAATGAATACAGACGATTGTAAACTAATAGCTGATAGAATAAAGGAAGAGGAAATTGATGGGGAAGCCTTTATAATGCTTGATTTACCGATCATACGAGACTTTTTACATATGAAAAAAGAATTTGCATTGCAGTTGTGCAAACATATTACAATGATTAGATGGTATTATATAGTGAATTTTGAAGAAAATGTGAATGAATGATGTGTCTGAATGATGAGCTTTATGAACTTGTTCCTTAATATATTATTATCTGTCTAGTCCATAATAAAGTAATTATTATTAATAACTTGTGTATTTTACATAAAATTTCAGTACATTTAACAAGTAAGTCAAACAAATGAGTTCTTACGGAATTTCTTACAAATGTAACTACAAATTTTAGCCATGAACGATTTATTGTCTTCCAAATCTTTGTCGTGAGTAAAATCTTCATTCATATGAATATTGTTCTTAGCAAATGAAACTTTTACGGGTATTTCCCGTTCTGGTAGATCCTGCTGTTGTTTAACATATTGCTCTAACTCAATTTTTTTGGCCGCTAGTCTTTTCAAGTTTTCGGCAGATGCTATGTGACTATCTGAGTTTTCTAGCGTAGCCGTAGGATCTTTGATATTAATTTCGGATAGGAGATTACGGTCATTCATTTTGATTTGCACAAATGGCATACCACTTAATAAGTAGATATTGAAAATTTCTTTTTTTGTGCAAGTCTTTATTTTCGAACTATTTTCATCAAGGGTTGAATCGGTAAGATAATTCTCGTTTTTATAAGCCTCCACAACAGAATGTAGACTTTCTAAAAGACTTCCATTTTTCTTTGAAGTTAAAATTATTTCACCAGTTCCATCATTGCAATTTCCTTGATTTTTAATATCTAATTTATTATTTTCAGGCGATAGAGAGGATTCAGAAGACATAATATGATGTATAATATCTTTTAAAAATTCCTTCATATCGCCTATTTGCTCAGCCTGGTTTTTTGCTAAAATCTCATGGAATTTCTTTTTGTAGAGTTCAAAATCGCGCATGTTTGTATTAAAGTTATCGAAAATTTCCTGGACAGTTGCTCTAATTAGTTTTATATTAGATTCAAGAGTACTTATTGAGCGCTCATTCGTTTGCAGCTCTTGTGATATATTATTATAAACTTTCTTTTCTATTCTCTCTAGTTCTGAATTTGTCAGCGAGGCTCTGTCATTGTCTCCAATCTCTAAATCATTTGCAAAATTTTCGTTCAAATTAGCATAATCTTTGACAGGTACCTCATCGTGGTCATAACGTTTATAATAATCATTAAATTTGCTCTTTGTTTTATTAGTAACATTCGGACCAGACTTGCTACGTTCTGCATTTAATACGTCCTTATTCTTAGCTAGATTTACAACAGATTTCCACGACTTTTTCGACTCTATCAACTCTTTAGGTAATTTGCTTGCGCAGTAGTTGTAACCGATTTTTAATCGTGAGTCCTGCATGTTATCTGCCAGAAAAAAAATAGAGTAAATATTAATTATAATATACGTCGTGGCGCTTAAGAATAAATGAATATTGGCTGAATAGAAAATTGAAGGATTTCAGTCAAATATTTATAATTCAAGTTGTATGCTGTGCAAAAGTGTTTAACAGTGCTTAATGAATCTTTCGTACTCTTTTGGCATGGGTCAGACTATATTTGTTCCAGTAGTACCTCGTTACCAATTATATTATTAATATTATAATTCCTATTCATACTATTATTATGAAATTATACTTGTTTTTTAGTACTTTTTGACGTCGTAAACTACTAAAATAATAATTAAAATTCGACTTGAAGATAAACTATAGGGCTAAGACGAAATACATTATCTTTTAGCTCAGAGAATAATGCTGAAGGGGGTGAAAATTATTTCAGACGAGGTCGCAGATAAATGCTAAAAATAAGAAATACTTAGGTACTCCCAATGGTCGCAGGTTCTATTCCTCGCACGAAGCAAATATTTTTAGTCTCTGTATTCTGAGTATGATTGTATTGTACTGGCTATTGTCTATGTATATTATGAATTAATTTACAAAAAAAATTATTTATGTATCTGTATCAATTGCCCATAACACAAACTCTACTTAGCTTGGGACTAGATGGCGTTGTGTGAATTGTACAGTGATATTATTAAACATAATGAAGTATGATTTACCTATTTGGTATAGCACAAAAAATACATGTGATTCTTAACCGGGTACTATAAATTTCAACGTTATTTTTGCATATAGAATAAAATAAACCCACACCTGCCTAACAAATAAAATATTACATTACGCGGTTATAATTACCATACATTATGTATGACAATATAGTATAGTACTATTTTTGGCATTCTTAATATTACAATATTCAAAATTAACTAAAAAGTTTCTAGCAGAAAGTATCATTCTGTTTCTAGTAAAGTTTGAACAATTTGTTATCTGTGGTTTGAATGTGAATATTCTGCCTCTTATGCCGAAGTTCCTTTTTTTTTATTGTATTTAAAAAATAATATTTTTATTATACTAATATATTATATTATCTGTACATTTCAATGTAAATTGTCTGTTTGTTACTTTATCACGTGAAGATATCACTTTTATTGGGATGATTGGGAAGTAGAGATTTTTTTATCAATGATGGAATGGTACTGTGACTGCGTTAATGGGCTAAGGTACGCTTAACGTGGTTTCTAGAGGGACCGCAGCAAGTTCTAGCTGACAGGTCACAATGGCCGTTAGTCTTAATCTCTAACGGTCCTCTTCTCTTCCTGAAGGAGCTCTTTTTTAATGCATTGCAACGGAAAATGTGTATTTAAACAACAACTCCAGCGAATACTGTTGGCAGAGGCGCAAGGGCCTTTCCATTATCACCCATTGAAAATAAGACGGCCGCGCCCTTCTGGCCAATGGGACTTCAAGGTTATATAATCCTTTATAAGTATCTATACCAGTCGGTTAATCCGTCTGGTATAGATAATTATTTTACTCTTTGGCATGAACCCAACTTTATAGGCAAAAACAGTTCTAGGGATGTGAAAAATAATCTATTGTGGAACAACCGATTATTTTTATTATAATAAGACAATCCTATCACTGACAATGAACCCTAATCACTTGTACATTTATATTTTACTTTAATACTAGGAAGCCAATATGCGTCCGGTCTCTAGCACTGTACAAAACAAAGGTGAGTATAAAGAAAACTAAGTCAAACTATCAATATATATCAAAATATAAACAAAAAAAAAAATTCAGCTTATATTAATTTTAATACAAAAAAGTGGTAAAAAGTGAATAATCGATTTTTTTAATGTATATTATTTTTACCTAATACAAACAAGAACATCCAAACGACAATTTTATTGATCTCAAAATTGGAGTAGATGGAAAGCAATCTATTATTGAAATCTCGATTATTATTTAGTTCTACATCCATTTCTATGTAATCGGTGATTATGCCATCACAAATAGTAGATTTTTTACGAAGAATGTCCGATCCCTACGTCATTCTTTACGGGATTGCAAGTCCTTAATAATCAATTACAAAAAGATTTCAGATTCAGTATATCTTTTGTAGACAGTTATACTATTTAAAAAAAAATTGTCTATGGTGACTGTCAGAATGGAAAGAAAATATATATTTGCTAATATTAGAGTGAAACAAATATGTTCATGGCCGATCCAATCATACAACGAATGTCTATGAACGCCAGTCACTGAACCGTCAATTCAGTGTAACCATGTGTGGTAGGTTCAAGCTTTTTTGGCATATTTTGTTAATGTTTTTACAAACTCAGATTATTTAATTAATGACTCTATTTTAACAGTTGACTTACTATATTAAGTACATTTAATAGACGCTAGTCTTTTACTTTGTTGAAAACCAAATTTATAATAACCAGATATGTATATATCTATAATGCAATAATAAAAAGTATTCCTTTAATATAGCCCTTTATATTAAAGGAATATTTTTTATTAATATAATAATTGTGCATGTCGTTACTAGCTGTCGATATATTAAAAAAAAAATTATTACATTGCTATTTACTTGTTGTCTGATAGCTTTAAAGATTTTGTATATTGCTTCTAAATTTTGCGTCAAACAAATTAATGTAGCTACAGATATTTAATTGTAATTTGGCATTTTAAATAGATCATTGAATGGGTTTCATATTTACCAAATTAAATAGTTGTAATTAAAATTTGATTTAACAACAAGGTTATTTATTAATATCTATTACTTAAATATAAAAGTGCTATAATAATAAGCCGTTATTTCTTTAGTGTACCAATGCAAATGTAAAAAAATGCAATAACATTACAAATTAATTATAATGAAACATATGAAATTGTAATATACTTTATGAAGTTTTTGACAAACTTTAATTTTATTTGGCACGGTACTACTACAACTATAGCAAGATCTGTAATTTCAATATGGTATTACTGCGTCAATTGTTGAACGAACGAACGACACCGAAATTGAGGCCCCGCCTATAGACTCGTGGATTTTATTATTTTATTTCGTTTTATCGCGATGTTTTAATTATAAATAAGAATATAGGTAATTTAAAGTGATGTATTAAAAATTTAAGCTACCAATTAAAATATAGGAATGGCATTACAGCACTAAATGGAATTCAATTATTGATTTACCGTCCAGTTTAACGAATAGTGTGTTTGTGCGGTAATGTAGCGTTATTTTCATACAAGTGGAAATAATTATAAATGGTTTTAGGTTTTGTTGTAGTTTATTCATCCATTAAACAAGTTTTTGTGTTATAAGAGGAGAGCAATTTAGTGATTTATAACATACTATTTTTAGTGGGTGTTGTCATTGTGGGCCGCTTTTTATTCGGATTAGGTCATCAAGTGCCGCGGACATGTGTGCCGGAGAAATGTTTTTCGTATAGTTCAGTTAATAAAGTTGGTTTATTTCGTTTCTTGTTAGATCTACCAGGCAGGAGACTGTCAGCAATATGGATACATTTAGAGTTATAGGCATCCTAGCGGTTGTATACCAAGCGACCGCTCTATGTGAGTATTATTTACTTTCTAATTGTTGTAAATAGGTTTTATTATATTTATTACCGACCTTAAGCATGTTTTATGAATGGCAACTATTAATATTGATTTCATACATTATTCATAACTAGTTAGAATAAATAATAACTTTGATCGGAATTCCGCCGTTCCCCCCCTAAATGCCCAACCCCCCCATACTACCGGCTTGGTGGAGTTCTTGAATTAAATTATTAAAATACTCTAATGATAATGTAGACATTCTGTGCACAGATACTCTAGTCTGTATGGGAGTTTGTATTATTTACTCAAAATTCAGAATCTTGTAAAATCTACATTTCTTGTAAGAAAAAGCTGTGGCGCAATATCTTGACTATTCTTACAAGTTAAATTTTCATTGTAAATGTGTTGTAGAATTTTGAAAAATAACTATTATATATTATTTAAGTTCTAAATAGTAATGCCAAAATCCTTCAATTTTGCTGTATATTTGAGTCTATGTTATATGATATTATTTTTGGAAAATGTATCTTTTAATTAAACAAGAAAATACATGTTAACATATGAAAAATGAGTTCTGTGGTCTTGTATGAACATTGAAAAGGGCCCAGAAATGATGTGTCTACCACACACCTCATTTCTGGGACATTATCAAATTTAAATTCAAAATAATTATTCATGTTGGCATATTACAGACTCCTATGATATGTTAACAATAATAAATGAATGCTGCAAAGTTCTTCAATAGTGATAACTAATTTTGTGAGGTTGATGCCTGAAATACTATATAAAATAATAATTGGATCACACTAAGCTTATTTGTTATATGGTTTAATATGACTATTTCATGTACTGAGAATAGACTTAGTCCAAAATATACTTTAATCACATCAATATGCAAAAATCTTATTACTGGTCATATATTAAAAAAATATATATCATCGGCTAAATAGAAATATGGCAGTATTCAAAAAAAATTATTTAATATTAAAAAAAAAAATTTTTACAAAACAATCATTTAATGTTTCTAAATTTAAATAAATTAGTTTTTAAAGTTTAAAGTTTTTAATTTTAATACTTTAAAGTTTTAAATTTACACAGAAGTAATATATATTATTTTAAAAGTATTTAGATAATGATTAAGACGGTGTGGTTAATTTAATTTACTTATATATAAAAGAAGGCAATTCTAACTTCTAATTTTGAAAAATGACATATTTCTATTTAATCAACAATATATAAGAAACCTTACAAGAAATACCACCTTATAAGTAGAAAAAGGATTATCAAAATCCATTCAAATATAAAAACATTATAAGGCTTTTACCAACATACATGGACCGTGGGAGATTGCCTTCGTCAGTGCCGTGACCATAGAGACAATTTTATGTTTACTTTTTATTACTATTTCTTATATATGTTAGTCTCTAAGGTATGTATAATATGGGCCAAATAGCCTGAATTAAATAAATAAATAAAATATATAAAAAATAAATTAAGCATACTTCAAATATATATTAAAAATTGTTATTATATGGAAAATAAAATTTAAATAAAGTAATAATAGGGTAACACACAATATTATACTCTGTACATTTATTATAGTCATAATAATGTCTAAACATTATCATAACCTAATCATAACAAATCTTAAAAATACTAATATTTTTAAGATTTGTTATGATTAGGTTTTATATAATGGCCTTGACATGTTTGGAAACAAAAATCCCAAAATAAATATATACAAAAAAAATATAAAAAGAAGTTATGAATTGATTGGTGTATTGTTTATTTTATTTTGATGATAATGGCCAAGTTAAACAACTGGTCATCACCATGACCTCGCCTTTATCTCATTATTTGGGGTTCCTGCAGTGATTTCTTCAAGATAATCTTATAAATTGCAAATATTTATCACTTGAAATATATGTGTAAACTTGATTCAGTGTTATTGCACATCCTAAATATTGATAAATAAAAATATGTTCATTTCATGACTCTGAATACCAAATATAATTATGAACATGCAGCTTTTACTATCTTGCTTAATTTCAAAAACAACAAATCGCCACAGGTTAATTAAACAAATAATAAATATACCAGATTTTTTTTAAAGCATTCCTTTAAAGAAGTAAATATATTTATAATTTTTAATTTTTTTTTTATTAGAGCTCCACCCCTCTTGAGTGTAGCTCTTAAATTATGAATGAATGAATTATTTATTTGTATAAGTACTGTGTATTGTAGGTAAGTGTAAGATTTATAGGTCCCCATTAATTTTTTGGTGAATGGTAATATTTTAAGGAAGGTGTTTTATGACTGTAGATAATTATAAAGGCAGATGAAGGCTTAAAAAGAGATGGATGGACTGTGTGAAAGATGATCTGGTATGAAAAGGAGGAAATAATGAGATGACTGCAAACAAGGATGAATGGAAGAGATAAACATATTATACCAACCTCAAATAAATGGGATAAGGAAGAATCAGATGATGATTCATATTTTGGTGAACAATATTGGTCTTTATTAAATTAAATAAAGACCAATATTGTTCACCAAAATATGAATCATAATATGGTTATTTTTACTGACTAATTCTAATTTAGTATGACTAGTTTAGTAATTGGAGTGTGTGGATTTGTAATAACTTTAGATTATAAATACATATATATAATATACTTGCTGTGCCCGCGCATTCGTCCGCGTAAAATGACGATACTTCCATATAACCTTTCATCTCCCCTTTCAACCTTTTTTCGCATTAAAAAATAGTCTATATCCTTTGTCAGGGTCTAGAATATCTGTGTATTAAATTTCATTTAAATCGGTCCAGTGGTTTTGGCGTGACGGTGAGACAGACAGACAGACAGAGTTACTTTCGCATTTATAATATTAGTAAGGAAATAAGGATATTTAGACGGTTATAGATATTGACAATATTAGCTGTTATATGTCAGTGATGATTAAATGTGAGAGACAATTCTAAAGTCAACCTACATCATTATACTACATTCAAGGCAATCTGTACATAAATGATATCTCGGCTTGGATAGGGGCTGATAGAATTATCTTTGCTGGCAATAATCGCCAAACAATGACTATTGTAAAAGTATTGTGTTTTATTGTTGAATATTGCAATTAAGTTATTTTAATATCTATTATTTATTTGTGATGTTTATGCTTAACACACATTTAAATAAATCAGCAAAAGGAAAATATTAAAAATATTATTACACAAAAATAATAGAATACAATTGAGTAATTTTAATATTAATTTATGAAATAATTTCCACTTACTTAAGTATATATTTAAAAGTTTGTTGAGGATAAAAATCACATTTTATACTTAACACACAAATATATCAGTAAATGGAAAATATTAAAAATATTATATTATTATAGAGAAAATATTAAAATACAATTGATTATTTGAGTAATTTAAATATTAAGTGAGATAATATTTTCTTTTATTTATTTGTGATATTTTATTCTTAACACAGTGTTAAATATATTAACAAGTGATAGAGATAGAGATGTTGAGATGACCTATTGTGGCCCATTCAAATTGATTTTATGCATTACTGAAACATTCATGTAATTGGTATAAAACTTTGCTATAAGCTATTAATTTTTTTTATATGCTACTATAGTGGTAAATAAGCATACGGCCCCTCTGATGGTAAATGGTTACCATAGCCTATGGACGCCTAACACATCAGGTTTGTTATGTACACAATGCCGGCCCATATCTGGTTAATCAATATAATTAATGTAACTTGAACAATGTTATGGGTAAAAACTGGTTTCTCTATGGGTAAACATAAGACATGTTATGTTTGTTTCCAACAGTGACTTCACCACCCAAGATAGTAAAGCAACCAACTCAGGAAGAACTGCTATTCCAAGTGGCGCTACCAGGAGAGGTGGACAAGCCCTTCATCATAGAATGTGAAGCGGAAGGAGAGCCGGCACCTAAGTAAGTTTGGATAAAATTTCATTCCAAATATCTTTACCTTACATATTGTGACGAATCAGCATTTGTTACCATGCATCAACTGTTTATACAGAATGCCCCAACACTGCATATAGAGCACCACGGTTATTTAAAAAAAAAACACCTTGTGACCTCTGTTACATCTGCAATTGCCATTCATAAGGAGTAAGGTATTCTGCCTCGCTATCTTGGAACTTCACTACCATATCTCTGGTATCTAATTGGATCAGAACTTACAAATCAAGTTACTTGATAGCAGGGCTAAATATTACTGTAACTCTATACAGATATAAACTTCAGCCTATTTTTCTGCCAAATATCATTCAAATCGGTCCAATAACTTAACTGTAAAGTTACTTTCACATGTACAGTAGTAATATGAATTATATTTTAATTAATTTTCATTACACTGTGTACATACAACATTATTTGCATTAAGATGTTAATTACATTACAGTGACTAACTGTTTTATTATAGTAAACATACGTTAAATACAGTTAAACGATGATTTGGTCTCTCACTAAGAAGGTTCTGATTATATATTTTAAAGAAGTTTATTTTATTACTAACTACTCGCCCAGGCTTCGCACGGATGTACACGCATTATATATATAAACCTTCCTCATGAATCACTCTATCTATTAAAAAAACCGCTTCAAAATCCGTTGCGTAGTTTTAAAGATTTAAGCGCATACATAGGGACGAATAGACAGCGATAACGACTTTGTTTTATACTATGTAATGATTATTATTATTCTTATATTTATTGTATAATAATTATTTATTTATTTATTATAATCGTTTGTGAAGAATTTTTCATTAAATCTCACAAACATACAAATTGAATAGATGGATTATTCATTTAGTATTATATTCACATATACCACAATCAAATGTAATTACTTCAGAATTTTCCCTACGTAGAATATAAATATATAATAATAATGGCTTTATGCTTAATAATGGTTTGACGGCTTCGGTGGTCTAGCGGTTTAGCAGACCGCTTTACCGATGGTCGCGGGTTCGATTCATCGCACCGCACAATCTATAACATCAATCCATAGTTTTTTTAATAGTGATTTTTGTATATATTGCAAAACAACGTTTGTAGGGTCAGCTAGTAGTCTAATATCGATATAGCTCGATGACATAACACTTGGCATAATTAGTAGTAATATGGGTCGCGGACACAGCGGCGCGCCGCGTCCGTATGACGAGATCGATCGCACACAATAACTAGATGTCTGAGCTACCAGCATTCATCGTGTTGGCCCGACTGTGACGAAGCCAGAAAAAATGTCTAGTCCCTGCCTACTCCTTAAATCGTATACCAGACGATGACGAGTTCTTGGTAATTAAGAAAATGCAAAATATATATTAGATCATACTGTAACCAGTATGGTGTCGAGAGCCAAGGCCTACGGCATAGCTGGGTGACGGCATTTCATGCTGTCATGATTTCACGTTTAGAATAGAATTTCATTGACTTGTCTTGACGCAACAATAATAATAACATAAAAAAGGAATTTGTTCTGGAATGCATATTAGAAGCGAAACTTCAATGAGCAACGCGATATATTGTGGTACGCGTACCCCCAGGGGTACGTGAAGTTGCGTCAACATTTATTATCAGTAAAACAAATGTACACACCCACTCACAACCTTTCACATTTATATTAGTGTGATTGTTATACTAATAATACTAATAAGAGGTACGCAGGTCTTTTTTGAAGTGGTACGCATATTTGGAAACCAATGGTCTACTCCATCCACGCGATAGGTCAGGTTCAGGTTACGAACACTGATTAGTAATAGACCTACATGAATAAAGATATTTTGAATTTGAATATATCCAACATATAGTGAAATCTCGTGCATGAATACTTTTTGACTCATATACTCATTTGTTGAATCAGCATTTACTTAGAAATATACAAAATGGTAACATTTAAGTCTATTAATAATAAACAGTACGTGACTTAAAATACACAACGTTTTACTGTATATGTATATATACATAAACAAGTCACTATTAAGATTTCAGTGCTGAAGTTTGAGTCTGTATGCAATATTATATAGTTAAGTTTTATTTTTACTAGCTGTACTCGTCCAAAAATGAACAAAAAAGTTAATTTCAGAATTTTCTAAAATAAAAGTAGCCTATGTTACTCCTTATTATACCAGCTACCCGCCAATAAAAGTCCCGTCAAAATCGGCCCAGCCATTTCAGAGATTAGCCAGAACAAACAGACAGACAGACAGACAAAAATTGTAAATAATGTTATTTTGGTGTATGTACCGTATTTATATCTATATGCATGTAGTAAAGAACGGTTATTTCAATGTTACAAATAGACACTCCAATTTTATCCATATGTATAGATTTTTCTCAAGGTTATCACTTGATTCTTAAGCTCTAAAGTTTAATTATAATACACAAATTATACATTTTGATATAATAATTGTATTTTTTTATGTCTGTTCACATTTCTTTGTATAGAATTTTCAGAAAATGCTCAATATTTTCTAAACTAATGGGAATATTTTTGGTTCATCTGTGTTTTTTTCATAAATAGAAGAATATTTATTCCCCAATATAAGATTTATTAATAAACAAAAAAGTTGCCTACACAGCTCTCTTAGGACGAGTTGCCCAGTTTACAGAGAAACAACCATATATGTACATAGTATCAGATAGGTATGTTATATACGCGTGTCGGGGGAAAGGAAACTCGGGTTTCAAATGCGGCTATGAACGTATCGACCTAGTCTAACTAGGTTTTCTCCACTGCGGTAGTAACTTAGCAACTCTTATATGCAACTTGGATACTAGTTACTGGACTTAAAGAGACGCTCTTGTCAGATTTGCTATCAATAAATAAGTTAAGTAATATTGAATCTTGTTTCGTGGTGGTTAGGATTTTTTATGCTATTATTTTCGTAGACATATTGTAATAAGATTTTATACATTTTTCTCGTGATAATTTTCGGGGTTAGCAGATATATTCTATTTTGAAACCACGTTTGAGAAAGTAATTTTTTAATGTATGATAATGGATTGGTGTGCCTGCGCTAACGGTTTACTTTAGGGGTACCAATGGGGGATGATAAGATGAGCATGAGGTCAGAACAGTTATGATCGTGACAAATTCACCAGGAATTTATCATGATGATTTCCAGCAATGAGGTCAATAGTCCACATTACTAACAATCTTCTCCCCTCAGAAAATATTCTTTAGACTAAGAGATCGCATTCTACCAAGTTAGCCGAGAGGTTCAAATTCGAATCGAGATATAAGAGCTTAAAATTTTGAATTAAAATGTTAAAGAAATCCCGACCTACGGTTATGTATATATAAGTTTAAAATTCATTTGCATTAAGATACTCAGACATTATGTTACATGTTTGTCAGCGAATCTGTCACGGAACAATATTCTTTTTAGAAATATATATACAGAGCACATGTCGTCATCTTAAAAAATAGTCGCCCTCGAGGTCGATATCTCACAAAGGTCAAAGACTCGATATCATCGCTCTCACATGAACGATGCATACAAGATACAGTACTCTTATTTATAAGTTACATCTATGTCAATAAAAATATTGCTATACTATATAACTCCTAAACAATTAACACAGCGCCATCTAGTTCCACTGTAAGCAGAACTTACATTATGGGTACTAGGGTACTAGACAACTGATATAATACATACTCTTTTTTGTAAATATATACGTAATATACATAGAAAACACCCAGATCGATACAATGATACTTATGAATACAAATATTTGTACCGTGCGAGGTATTGAACCCGCGACTTTCAGAAGTAAAGCGGTGTGCTAAACCACTAGACCACCGACGATGTTATATGACCATCACTATATGTGTTAACTATCGTGTGACGCACCATTAATTAAAAATGGTAAAGTCAATAATCATGTAACCTGAAACGGAACGTCAGAGGCCAGAGCCAAAGTAATCTATGTGACATTGACAAGTGGATGACGGATGATTGAACGGAGGCAGCGGGAGTTTTGGAGCGAAAGTGTTGATATTATTATAAAAACAAATAAGAGATAGATAATTGTGAATATTGTAGGCATTGAGGTGTTTCTCTCCTTGACTAACCGGCATTACGCCTAAGTCGTCAGGATACTAGTGATTTTAAAAGTTCAGAAGCGGTACCAATCCCGCCTACAAATTCGACTGTAAGGTAATTCTGACTAGAAGTTGTGGTAAGTGAATTTACGTTAATAACACGCATACCATTAAACGCAGTTTCTCACTTGTTTTATTGAACTTTTGGATGAATTGCTTTCTACATATTAAATAGATTTAGTATGTACGATAACTTGCGAGAGTAATGACAACGATATTGAGGTATACAATATACCTAAGAAAGAAGTATTATGAATACATTAAGTATAAAACAACATGGATATCTAATTAGTTTAAAATACAGAGTAACTATTGTTATGTTATTAATGCCTATGATAGAGTATGATAGGATATCAACAGATTAGAAACAGTTACTTTAAACAGTTAGTTATTAACTATGTTGACATACAGGTTGAACATGAGAACACATACCATGTTATACATATAAACAGTGAAATGGTATTGCTGAGTTTGTTGCTAATTCACAGTAAATTAGTCAAACTTACTGTTCAGTTTTGTGTGTTTGTTCTACGTGAATTGAATTGAAGAATTGTTATTATTTCTTTACATAGGTATACATATATGTTTGATGATCCCATTTCAGATAAATGACAATCACAGGCATAGTCCAGGTATATGTCTTGATTGTGGTTATATTCCCAAATTGAGATACTGTCATATATATATTATATTGGTTGATGCTTTGATATGTGTTTATTAATGAATTAATAAAGCATATCAATATAGATAGACATAGTATATTGTTGACATAAACTGATACAAGCTACATAACATGTTATATTTCATAATATTACATATTA